GACATTATTATTATTATTATAATTATAATTGTTATTATTATTAGTATTATTATTATAATATAAACATTGTTGTAAGCGTGCAGATATAGGGGCCCTTGCTAAAAATCGGTGGTCCGATGATGTTAACGAATTATCTAGCCTTCGGCCTCGAAAGACCGAATAAAAAAGAACTCGTGAGTAATTCTGCGGATGACCGGAAATTTAATGCTGTACGCAGACTTCGCAGTTTCGTTTACAATCATCTCGAAGGTCTCTTTCTTTCGGAGAACAAAACGTTTTTCACAGTTTACGAAAAACTATCCGACCAGAAGCTCGTGTGTTAGTTTACAACTGTTCGATTCAACTTTCCGCTGACCCAACGTGTTCGGTCACCGTGTGCTCAGGGCTCGATCGAAGGGCAACTCGGCCAGAAAACATTAGTCCCACTAAGCGTGAAAACTGTAAGATTTCTTACGACCTGCCCGACCCACGCCAGAAGCACTCATAGCCATTAACATCGATTAGAAATCATTTTTAACCAGCCATACATTCTCACAAAATAGCCAATCACAAACAACATTTACAAAAAGCGCAAACACGTCCACGCCGGGAGATTTCACGAGAACCTTTAACCCCTTAAGGATCAGCCGCGATCGTTTCACGGGATACGCAATTCTCGGTTCAGACACGGTACGGGGCAATTTTTCTATCAGGAAAACATACGCTAACAGAACGAAACAGGAACCGAGCCTTAAGAGATTAATCGTGAAAGACGTCACGGAAAAATACTGGAACCGAGACCACGCACAACACGACCAACATTTTATAACGCAAACCGTTAAATTGTTATTAATGCTTTTGTTAAAACGCGTTCACTGAAATCACGTTTTGGATTTTCAGCTAGGCTTATCATTAAACTCGGTATAGCCAAACGTTTCAAGGTATACTGGCGATCGTAGCGAGCAATAAGATTTACGATCCCGCGTAATTCATTCGAAAATTGCGATGTACGAGGGCTACAATGCTACATCTAGCATTGAATTATATACATATGTATGTATTTTACAAAGCACCATGGATCTATTACTATACAATACATATAGGGTGTCTCACTTACACGATAGGAAATTATAAAGAGGCGGTCGGACGTACAACTCTCGCACTTTACGCGTTTCTTCGGTTGCATTTTTTTTATTCACGTGTACGTACCTATATATGTGCAGCCAGATGTGTATACATATATATACGTACATACATAAAATTTTACTGTTCGTTGTACAGATAATTACTTGTAAACTTCGATACATAACAATCAGCCCAAAGAGAGAGTCAAGCGTTATAAATATAACGCGACACGCAACACCCTATATATTTTGCTTAGTCGTCACTTACACAATAATAAGCGAACGGATATTCAAATAGATAAAGTTTGATTGAAAACAACCTAAGACGTTTCGACAGGATCAACAGCGAGTCATTGTTGAACGTAATTTACACAATAATGTACGTATATCTGCGTTACAAATTTTCGTTCGCGATTACATTGATCCCAGAAACTAATTTTCTCAATTTCTTCTACTTACGTACAAACTTAGCATAGTCACAGCAACGTGTTTAATTTAGGAACGCAAGAGGATCGTTAGAAAGAAATATTTCTTCGTCATGATTGTGTTAACAAAATTTAATTGAAAAAATTCCTACAGATACAAAAC